TAAAAGCAAAAAAAATAGTTTGAGATCAACGAAATATTTATTTTAGTATTATCATACATAATTTACTTACAACTATTCGTACAAATAAACAGACTAACGCTCGAAACAAAAGGAATTTTTCATTAACATAAAAATAGTTCACAAATTTTTGTAAAAATTAATATAATAAGGGGGTACGCAATGTTTTTTTTCAATTAACGAGAACAATCCCTGTTTTTTTGCATCGGTTATACCAGGTTTTACAGAAAATGCTTTCTTGAGCTCGATTTTATTAACATCAATTTGTTTTCTTGAATTTATAATTTGTACCTCATTGTAATCCGATTGTTCAAAGGAGGTTTTGTAAAAAAAGATCCCAGGGTGATTTTTTTCCAACTTATACATTTTGATATTATTCAGCTTTACATTATTAGGTAGGTTTACAAATAGTTCCGATGTTAAAGCTTTAAGATCGTAAATGTCAGTGTGACATAATTCCTTTAGTTTATACGCTGTACCTTTCTTTTTTGAATTCCTAATTATGCAGGCATATTGATCTGGAGAAAATATAGGGCCGGATTTTCTAAATTTTTTAATCTCCTTCTCTATTAGAGCATGCATGCTATCCCCTTCATTTTGTGAGTGGCCAGGTATAAAAAATTTGTGCGTTATAGAGTTAATGTTAAAATGAGAGATTGCGTAGATAAACATAGCTATTATGAACCTATTTTTATTTTGCCCAACACAATTATCGGAATAAAATATAATGTCAAGTTCATCCTTATTTTGTTGGGCTAAATCTTGAAGATAGGTTAAAATGCATGTACCAATTTCATTGGCACCTCTATTAGCCTCCCCTTCATGCCACATAAAACATGAGCCCTTGTTGCATTTTATATCGTATAAAGTAAAGTTTAATACGTTAAGTTTGGACACGTAATAAAAACACGAAGCGTCTCCGATCGGACACGGCAACACTGCCTGCAAATCAAATACCACTACTTTAGTTTTGTCATCACTGTTCTTATCTTTTTCCTTTTCTTTCCTACTTAAATCCTTCTCTTTTATATGTTTTTTATATTTTTCTTCCATATCCTGTTTGTGCTCATCATTACAATTTCTATATTGTACACATTCTTCACACTGATCTTTTTTGGGTAAATGTAAAGCCAAATTAAATTCTTCATTGAATATTTTACTATACATGACATAGTTAGCACAGGGAAGGTTCTGCTCATTACATTGTTTGGTATAATCCCTGTGCAAGTCTGCAATCGTTTTACTTCCATCGATATATTCCTTACTGGTGTTGGCCCTACAGTAATGGCTTTCAATGCGTGGGATACTGTTGATGTGATTCCTTACATTATTTTTTACATTTTCACTAATTTTATGGTGATTCCCATGTCTTCCTCTTTTGTCCTTTTCCAATACCCTGCCGCTGTCACATAAATTCAGCTTCCTTAAAACTGTACTAATGACTTTATGGTTAATTGCTAAGGTAGCCATGAAAAAAAGTTTGCAAACACGAATTGCTTTATCATTAATTAAAAAAAAGTAGGCGTTATTCGGTTTTCTGGGATTCTGTGCATTCGTGTATTTATAACGCGGTGTTACAGTTTTCGTATTGGATAATATAAATTCTCTTTGCTTTTCAATATCTTGCATATTCCAATAGTCGTTAAAAATTTTTTCTCGCTGACCCGGCAATATTTTTTCTGAACATTTTAACTTGCATTTTAAGCCACAAGGTGGCAAGAGGGATCTCTTTTCCTTAGTTACTTTGCTTTTTACGGTTTTGCCATCTTCCGATTGAATCACACGCGTATAAGTATACTCTTGGCCACTATTTCGCAGCTTTTTGTTTACTACTTTTTTCCACGTATCCGGATTTGTAATTCTCTTTCTAGTTGGTTTAATGTTTTCAGATTGGCGATTTTCTACTTTTCTTTTTTTAGATTTAGGTAACTGTAGCTTGTCTTCTTCACGTTCCGAAGAGCTACTATCAATTGACGAATCAAAATTAGGATCCTTAACGCTATCATCTTCAGAAAAAGGTTCATTTCTAGAAACTTCGGAACAACGAGATCTGGAATCAAGGCATGAAGATGATTCAGAATCTGACGATGAATCCGATGACGAATCTGAGGATGATAGGGTATTTTTTTCTTGCAAATCTAAAAAGAAAAATATAAAGTTTGGAGATATAAACATATTATGTAGCTTAAACTAACAGTCTACAGTAGTCTCTATTTGCTTAGTCCCAGCAATAGTGCAAATGATATTTTCTAAATATAAAGTAGGCGAAATTTTTAAAACCTACTTTGACTTACCGTTAAGAGTAGTATCTAGTAGTTTATTTTTGGAGCTATTTAATTCTATAGGAATATTAATTTTCAGAAGATGTTCTCTTTGAATATTTACACCTGTAATACAAATAAATATTGAAACATTAATTAACCTTGGAGAAAAGCTCTGGCTAACTTACCATGATTTTCCTTCAAGTACAAAGAAGAGGTTTCGCTTTCTGAAATCGAACTTTCAATTTGAGTTGGTACTAAATTGGTAGTACTACTTTTTGACTCAGCGGTGGTTACTAATAAAAAAAATACAAGTAAGAATCAATATAAATTATTTAAAAAATCCACTTTTTTACCTAGATTATTTTGGTCAGCTACGTGGTGCCACTGATCTGACGACTGATCTTTTACCAGACTCATAATTAGATTAATACGATTCATTTTTGCACCCTAAAAATAAATCGACCTTAATAATGTTTCTATTAACGTGTAAAAATTGATACTTCCATTCTTTTACCAGCGAATACTAAGTTGCAATAAATAAAAGTAATTAAGAATACTGCCGCAATTTTTAAGAACACAGTTTTATTTGTATAAGTAAATTACTTATCTAAATAAACTAGCATTTTGTATAACTATATTTTAGTCAATAGGGTTACATTTCAAAATACAAATAAAATCCAAAACAAATAAACAATAATGCTTACAATTAGTGTATTTAAGAAAGTTACATTTAGAGATGTAACCCTCTTGAAGTGGAATGTAATTATATGTTTTGGTTTCATATCGAATTGTCACCTTATTTCTTAAATAAAACTTATAAAAATGTCTACTTACTCGTATTAAAAATCGTTACAACACAAAATGCACCTCTTTTTAATCTACAGCGCACACGGGTTCTCGTTATATCACAAAATGTAACCTTCTTCGTGAACAAACTTGAAGCACACACTGTCAAAGTCGGTAACAAACTAAAATGGAACCTTGTTCTTGCGAATTGTGGCGCCATCTATGTTAATTCAGTATAGTTACAACTTCCATCTCGTGGTGTTTACGTGCAAACTCACTTGTACCCTTCTTTCCCTTAAAACTACAGTAAATTTTAGGTACATTGAGATAAAAAAACAAAAATTGACAATTTTCGAGATGTAACCCTCTTCTTCCGGATGATCGTTATCTTGATAAGCAGAGTGGGCATTCTGATTGTTTATTATTCTGTGACTATGGTTAATTATATAAATTAACAATATGAACAACTACCTATTCTTCTTCAATAATGTATGTTTTTAAATTGTTACATACGCGGTCTCAGGGATATCAAAACCATAGAATAATTAACAAATGAGTGCCCAATCAGCTTTTCAAGATAAGTACGCGCATCTCGTTCGCGCAGACGGAATCAGTCATGTTTTAAACGGAACCAGTGCTCTTCAGTGAAATTTTATCTGTTGTAGATAGAAAAATAAACCCGGTTTAATTTATTTACGGCAACCATAGACATAATATGCACTATTTTATTCGTACTTTTAGTTAAAGAATATATTAAATTATTTCAAATTTACTAAATTATTAATCTCTTAAATTACAGTTCTGTCGTAGCTTGTCACAAATTTCTCAATACTCGTCTATATTTCCGTTTTAAAATATGGTGATCGCGTGCTGACACACTTCAATTTAAAGGCGGTATCTCAGAGTGGGCATTCTGATTCTGATTGTTATTTATTTTGTGCCAAAACCCAGTTGAGGGTAAATTTGAATTTGACAAAATAAAACTTGTCGAAACCACAGTTTAGCCCATCGAGCAAAAAGATAAAAGAGGGAATCTAATCGTTATGAAAAGGAGACCAAAAAAGTGGCCTCTGATGGCGGACATATCCGGAAATGCAAAGGCGCTAAATTTAAATTTTCCAACACTTGTTAACAATACCTGTAAAATATTTTTCAGACAAGAAAGTTTTAATTAAATATCAACGATAATAGTCTAAAAAGTGACATAATTGGTAAAAAACTTCAATATAAATAAAATTTCATGTGACAGCTGGGACAAACAATAACATAACCAAACTAAATTTGACTTCTTAAACAAGGAAAGAGACTGTCTTTCCTTGTTTAAAGTGGCCTCTCAAGATGGCACTTCCTGTCTAACAATATTTTTGTCCCCACTACCTTTACATTCCCTCTTTTATCTTTTTGCTCGATGGTTTAGCCGAAACCCTTAATAATGACAAACCATTAAATCTACTCTTGAAAGAAGAATGACACCAAGTGACACATTAAAAATGACAGTGGAAGTTTAATGACGTTGACGTTTATAAAAACATTTCAAAAATGAATATTGGCATATCTTTTTAAATGTCTGGTGCTTTAAATGTTTAGACTCATAGATTGTACGAAATAAATAATATACTTTTATTAAATAACTATTCATTAGATAAGACATTTCTAAAATATATCGATATTTTTTATACCTGTCATAATATCTGTCAGTGTGTGCCAATATTTTGATTTCAATATTTTCAAAGTAAAATAAGTAATTTTTTCTGCAACAATTAATATTCTATATTTAATTGTAGTCGTGACTTAGAGATATTTTCATGAAACAACATAATATAAAGCAATCAAAAGTTGTCCCTCATCGAGACAACAATCAGAGATTCATTTAAATTTTTAAAGCCCTATGGGGTTTGATATCAGCGCAGTCCCTTTAGGGCTGCTACAACAATGGGAAATTGTTTTAACAGCTGTCTACCTCATCAGTCTAGTGCTGCAAGAGCCCTTAGAAATTTTAATATACTTGACAACGAAAGTACTGCTGTTGATTTTGCATTTCTCGTCGAAGAGGTAATATAATGAAACCGTTGTGTTTATTGTGATTTTTATTTATTTAGAATGATTCTGCCACACAACCATAGGTGACAGAATGTTTTCTAATTTTAATCCAGGTTTCTATGTTCTGCTTGATACATTCATTTTTGAGTTTTCTCTGTTATATATAATCAGTATTTTATCTCTTTAATTACGGTTAAAAGCATTATCTTTATAATAATTAGAGTGGTCACACTAATTGAATTGCTTTAGTTATTTATGTTAATGTCAATTCCAACTCATTTTATCCATATTTGCTCATTTAATTGTCATACATAACATTGAACACTTTAGATATAAAATCAATGTATTTATCCATATATTGTTTACAACTTAACCATTTAAATCATAGTGTCCTCCTAGGAGGACATAAACTTAATAAGGATCATATTGCTGAATAGTGGCATTTAACCTTACGAAATAACAAATATTTTATTAAACATTTCAAATTTAAATTAGTTGAAATACACTTTCACTACAAACTCTTAAATTTATAGTTTCACTAATCTTTTATTGTTTCAGAATACATCTTCAAACCATGAAGAAAAAAGGTAATAATTAACATTTCATTTAGTTTTAAAAGACCTTGAGCCAAAATTAAGGACATTAAAATCTATGCATATAAATAATAAATAATAATCTAGATACACAGCAAGTTATTTAAAAATGTATAAGACCTAGGCTCTAATATCAGCATATCTCTTTTGGTTTGAGAGGGAAAGCTATTACTTGTCAGAACATTGTATCTTTGAGTATCAGTTCTGGTGAAAAATTATCACATATCAATACAGAAAAAGATAATTTTTGACAATATATGATAAAATAAATCTGATACAAGATTCTAAAACTATTTTTAATATTATTTTTGAAATATTCTTTATGATCCAACCATTTTCTGTAAAACCCATACATCCATAACCATCCAACGAAAATTTTTGTCATGAGACATACTTTGTGTAGACTGTGAATGATATGCAAAGAACTAATGTAATGAAAAACGTGTAGGTACAACATGTTGACAAATATAAATGCTATGATTTCATTGTTGTTTGTTTTGGCTCATCTTATATTTGTTTACTTGTTTTAACAATTTGAATTAATTTTCATGCTTCCTCCATTCAGAAGTTTTTTCTCGCAATTATTTAAAAAGAGAACAAACAAAAAGGTAATAGCATGTTGTGTAATATATTTTTGATAATTCCTGTGACACTAAATGATAAGTACTTTACTTTTAATTTATTTACTAGAGACCAGTACTGCAATTGGTTGATGGCCTTCGGAATGCTCAGGTTCCTTCAGGTTACAGTAGATTATCAGAATCACAGAGACTTCCATCTACAGGGTAAGAATATATATATTCAGTAATTGTTTATTTTATATTAATTATTCCTATCTCGCATCTCAGAGAAAGTCAATAAATGAATGATGAAATATTGAGTTTTCAAAAATATAGACCAGTTTTATTTTAGTTCACCTCTTGCTTTGTGTCACTTTATTTTTTTAATAAACAGATTTAACACTATTTTAATATATTAATACATCAATACACACTTGGGTGTTATATCTGCCTTTCTGAGTTTATATAAAATAAAATTGTAATTTTTTAAAAACAAAATCGAATAGAAGATTTTTTGAGACATAAATTTTTCCATAAGGTTTTTATCATATTTGGAGCTTTTAGTAAGTCATATCGTTATAATCGTTTACAAGATGGTCTACATATAAACATGATGTGGCTCTCGATACTAAGAAATTTAAAAACTCTTCCCGGTGCACCAAAAATTTCATTTAACTGATTTGAATAAATTGGGTGATCCATAAGTTGGATCTAGCTTGCTTATTACAAAAGGACTTGTCAAAAGGCTATTAAAGAACTCGTGTAAGTTGATCTTTTCACAAATTCATTACACACTATCTTCTTACTTTCTTGATAACAAAGATACCTCATCAGCACATGCAACAAAAAGAACATACAACTTATTATAGGATGTGACACAAATTCCCATAATACTGAATGTATGTATTTGAATGTATTATGTTCCTTTTTAAAAATTTTTCTTTGTTTCATCACCTGCTTCCCAATCATACAAGAAGCCTTAATTTTAATTTGCCACTTCACAGATTGTCTATAACAGAAAGAAGTCCTTTGTATCAGTGTGTTAAATTTTATAATAGTCTACCATCTGACATTCAACAGGAAACACACTATAGAGCTTTTAAAAGAAAGGTTTTTCAACACCTAGTTGACATTTGTATTTTGAGAACAATTTCTGAAGTGGAAATAATGGAAGTGGTTTCAAGATGGCCAGTGTGGCCATCAGCCTGCTATTGGTGAGTTTTCTGAGAATATTGTTTCTACTAGCCAATTTCTGACATTTTTCATGCTGGTACAGTAGTCGTCAAATATAACACCTTCTATCTTTATAACATAATTGCACCGTTTTTTTTTTCATTCTTCGATACTGATTTTATTAAATTCTTCTGCTAATTTTCTTACGTTCTCAAGTTTAAACGTGACATGCCTTTGAATGACAATATTCTTAAGCGTTGCCCAAATTAATTCGATTGGGTTCAAGTCTGGGTGATACGGGGGTAACCGTAAAACGGTCTGGCCGTATTTTCCACACAACTGATCAAATGCAAATGTTACATATCAGTCCTTATGAAATTTAATGGGTTTATACAATTCTGGTTTTAAACTTGTTGGAGTAAAAGGTATATTGTTTTGTGTCAACCATTTAATCATTTCATTCTTCAAACAATTGGAATTAGCCGTTCGATTTATTTGTACATTGTGATAACTAGCATTATCACAAACTATTACTGAATTAGGTGGTACGTTGGGTATTAACTTCTCTCTTAACGATTTTTCTTAATTTACGAATTCGTTTCGGAATGATAATCTCCAAATGTCGTCCCTGATTTGAATATCAACAAACTATTTTTAATAAAACCCATTTCGCGTCCAACGTGAATTCCAACGTGAACTATTATAAGTGTTGGGAATTTATCTTTATTGAACAACCAGCAATTGACGGATTTGTAGTTTACTGTTTTTATTTGCGTAAAAACAACTCAAATTCCTACAATATATAAAATTAACAAAATAAAAAACTAATTAATTCCCATTACTTACTGTTTTCTTGCTATCTGCTAAATTATCAAATTATTAAAATTTTTCCCTAATCAGTGACAGTTTGTTTTCTGACGTTTTGATATTATATTTGACATAGTTTATAGAACAGTAGCAATGGGAAATTTTGGGTAACATGATAGAACTAAAAATTAACTAAATACATTGTAGACAAATAATAAATATTCGTAACACTCCCACCCGGTACAGTTCTATGCGAAAGAGAGACTGTACCACTTATTTTTTATAATCTTTTTGGTTTCCATTTATTGGTATTACTGCTAATTTTATAACAGGACGTTCATATATTCCACTTTTTGTTTGAACTATTGCTCGTCGCACTTGCCCATCAGGTGATTCTATTGGAAGTTAAGTAAGTGTTCTTGAGTTTACTATGTTTTCTGCAGCTATGAGACAACTATAAAGTAATTTGTCAGTAGGGTTCCTGGTTGGTAATGAATCATATAAAGAAATTTTAACCGCTTTCACTAGGCGCTCCCAGGCCCCACCCATATGTGGGGAAAGGGGAGCGTTGAAGTGAAATTTTAGCTCTGGGCTAATCAGTAAATTGGCTGTTAATTTACCTTTTGCAGTTCTTCTCTCAATACTCGTTCAGCTGCAATAAAATTCGTACCTCGATCACAATAGATATGCCTCGATCGTCCTCTTTTGTTAAGCTACTTCGAGATGGACTGCTCTAGTCGTGAGACACATAAATAAAGCTCCCCATCTTTACTCCGTCCGTCTTCCAACAGTTACGTTTATTGGACCAAAATAATCTATACCAGTGTGTGTAAACGGAGCAGTAAATGTTGCAAGTCTACATGGCGGTAGAGGTGACATTTCTGGTGGTTTTGGCTTAGCAAATTTGACCTTGCAATTTTGACAATTGGTCCTAATCTTATTAACTAGTTGTCTAAGTTTTGGTATATAAAATTTTTGTCTTATCTCATTTACTACAATTTCATGATTTCTATGGTGATATCTTTTGTGATAGTCTTCAACAACTAGCAAAGTTAAACGACTTTCTCTCGGTAAAATTATTGGCCTTTTTGTTTCTGAAGTAACATCTCTAGCTTCATCTAATTTTCCTCTTATACGAAGTAAACCATCTTCATCCAGATATGGCGATAATTTAAATAAACTACTTGATTTATTAACTGTTTTCTGTAAACTACCAGAATTATTTGTTTTTAATTGTTTTATTTCATTTTTGAAATATTCACATTGAGTTTGCTTTATTAACATATTCCTAGCATCTAAAAGTTCTTCTGCAGTTAATATTCCTTTAGGCTCTTCAGATTTCATTAATTTTGCATAAATAATTCTTAAAAATCGAAACACATACGCAGTTGCTCTTAAAATTCTATTAAACTGACTGAATCTTTTAAAATCTCTTAAAAGTTGACTATTAAATTTTACTTCATGAGTGGTTAAGATTTCATCATCATTTCTAATTGATACAGAAAATCAGGACCTTTAAACCAACACCTCGTGTTTTTCAAATTGGGACTTTTTGTCCATTTGGTAGCTTCGTCGGCTATGTTATTCTTAGTAGGTACATATCTTCAATGTGATACCATCGAGTTTTGTTGAATTTCGGCCACTCTGTAAGCTACATATTTTGGTAATTTTCTTGGGTCTTCATTTCTTAACCACCTTAAAACTGTTGAAGAATCCGTCCAATAAACAATGTTGTGCACAGGTATGGAAATATGTTGACAAAGGTTTTTAGCAAACCTTGAACCCATTACTGCACCATTAAGTTCCAGTCGAGGAATAGTTTGTGGTTTTAATGGTGCTACATGTGTTTTCGCTCCAATCAAAGTACACTCTGTGACATCTTTTTTCATTATTCTTAGATATGCCACACAAGCACTTGCGTGTTCGCTGGCATCTACAAATATGTGCATTTGCGTATTGGTATGCTTCCAATTTTCGAGTTTATTAAAAAAGTATCTTGGGATTGAAACCTTCTCTATTTCTGGAAGCTGTTTCAACCAAACAAGCCATTTTTGAAACTGTTCGTTGGTTATTGGTTGATCCCAAGAAATGTTACCTTCATATTTCCTGTAAAAGGATCTTCACATAAATCAAAAAGTTTGCTAACAAACCTAAAAGGTCATATATAGACATACAGATTTGTAAAATTTTTCGTTTTGTTGGCTTTCTTAATCCACTTAAAACATCTTTGTTTCGTTTATTACATTTTAAATTGAAAATAAAATTATCTCCCTTTAAATCCCACCACATTCGTAGAACCTTCTCCATGCTCTTATTGTTCCCTAGATCTAGGTTGACTTCCTCGTTATTTCCGTGAGTGGTGTTCAGATTTTCATTAATTTTTTAGATTTTGATCTCCAGTTTCTTATTTCAAAATTTCCGCTGGCGTGAATTAAGGCAATTTCTTTTGCTAAT